AACGTGTAAGAGGAGGGGAGAGGAAACGTTGTATCTATAGTGGTTCTCATGTTTGAATAAAGCTACATATATTTAAGAACCAACCAATAATTGAATGCTTAAGAGGATGGTGGTACCTCAAGCCACCATATATCAGACTTCAGACCTCAGGACTAATGTTTTGGTGCCTTATTAATGCAGTTTTTTTCCAGTTACCATTGATAACGTGGTGTCGATGATGACTTCGTCAATCTTAAAGTTCCGCAACTCAGATCCGGTCTTCTTCTGTAGACATTATGTGGCAATGTAAGTGTGTGTGTCTATGTTATAATCAATGTGTCTCAAAAGAAAAAGAGATTTTCTTCTTCTTTAGAATCATATGTATATGCATCGAAGAAAATTATCCTCTATACATGATTATGAAAAATATTGAAGAAAAGAGGTAGGCTTGATTACAATTAGAAAGGGTGTGGCGAGATTTCAGTCGGCTGAGAGTTAGCCAAGTCTCAGTCAAGTGACATAACATATAAAAATATTGAAGGAAAAAACCTAAAAGAAAATTTTGCACGGATCGCCACGTAAGATCGCACGACGAGAACATCGACTGTGACTTGGTTAAGTGTTAGTCGACTGGCATTTAGCAATTCCGAAATAAAAATAGGACACACTTCATATTTATGGTCTCTCAGTTTCGTCGCAAATACTCATTTGAGGACACATGCAAAAAGAAAAGAAAAGAACATTCGACGCAAAATGCTAGATTTATGGTGATTGGCTTGCCGGCGCGTGTTGCGTAACATACCAAGCTTGGTTTCCATTAGAGTAATTCCATTATAGTACTAAGGGCATGTACAATGGTGCTATCTCAGGAGTGCCACGTAGGATAAATGATGAGGTGGAGGAGAGAGAACTCATAAGAAAAAGCTTGTCTTCTCTTATTTAAGATAAAACAAGAGATGATCTCTTAGCACAATTTGTCTCACCATGTTTTAAGGAGTTGCTAGTTATTAAAGATAAGGCTAAGATATAACCCATTGTAGACATACTTTTTTGTCATCTTTAAATTACATGCAAAACTTAAGATAAGACTGTCTTATCAACCATTGTACATGCCCTAAGTGTCAATTTTTTCAGTCTTGCTAAGTCTCACACGATGCTATATCCATAAAATCTTACATTAAGATCCATATAAAATTATTTTTTCAGTTTTTTCTTTCTTACATGTTACGTCACTTGATTGAGACTTGGTTAAATCTCAGTCGGCTCAGACCTAGCCACACCCATTTTTTTTCATTATTATAGTACTGCATGCATATAGTATACATGTGCAATTTATTACGTGCATGATGAAGCAGGCATCTCGCAATCCCCAGCCGAGCAGGAGGGGTTGCTAACCTCACTTCTGAACTAGCCAACCCGAGCCCCGCAGGCATTATCCGAACCAGATTAACGGCTCTTATTCCGCCATGCATATCAGCATATGCACGGATGCTAGCTGGTTGGTAGCCAACCAAACTTTACACATTTGGAGTACAAGATGTGAGCCGATGGATGATGTGGATGAGATCAGCTGTTGACGACCCTGCAGTTGCGCCTGATCTGGGTGACGGCTCCGGTGGGCGGGGCGAGGTTCCCCATCTTGATCATCGCCGTCGCGAAGTCGGCCACGAAGAGCGCCCGGTTGGCGGCGTACTGGCTCACCAGCGCGTCCTGGGAGGCGCCGTTGAAGAGCTCCTGGTCCGAGTGCAGCAAGCCACGCCTGGCGACCAGGTTGCGGTAGTAGGCGTTGTCGAAGACGAGCGGCGTCTGCACGTCGAACGGCGCCAGGTTGGTGTCGCCGGCGGGGGCCGTCGCGGGGCAGGTGCGCTGGCGCAGCGTGGCGAACGCCGGGTCGATGTCGGTGTCGTTGTAGATGTGGCCACGGAAGTTCTGGCACTGCGAGAAGCCGACGGTGTGCGCGCCGGAGAGCGCCGTGAGGTCGCGCGGGCTCAGCTGCTTCTTGGCGAACGCGGCGATGAGCCCGTCCAGGTTTAAGCTGGGCGCTGGGAGGTCGCTGTTGGCCTCCATCATGCTCGCCGTCGTCGAGTCCTGCCGGCCGAGCAGCACCGCCCAGCTGGGGCCGCCAAGCTGGATCACGACCGATCCAGGTGGGTGTTGTCAGCAACTCAGCATCAAAACTATGCTTGCAGAGGCAGCTGTCCATTGATTGTAGTACGTACCAGAGAAGTGCAGTCCCGTGCTGCGAGGGCGGCGATGTCGGCGCAGGAGACGACGCCGGGGCAGACCAGCTCCACGTCCTTCTTGATCTGGTCGATCACCTCGTAGCCCCGCACCGAATTCACGTTCGGAAACGCCGTCTTCTCGCCGACGAAGCTACCAGCCACGTCATCCAAGAGAATGGATCCGTCACAGCCCTATATAGCAAAATTCCACCATTAATCGTGGCCTAATTACGCGACTGAATAAAAATATGATTGTAAATCAATCTTCATTTAATGTAGATGTTTGCTTAGCGGTTTAAACAGTTTATTAATTACCTGAACGAAGCAGTCGTGGAAGTGGAGCCTGAGGAGGGAGGCGCCCATTCGGCGCTCGGCGCGGAGTGCCTTCGTCACCGTGGCACGCACGGTGCGCTGCAGCGTCGGGCAGCTCGTGTCGTAGAACGACCGCGAGAGCTGCCCGTACGCGGTGGAGGAGAGGAGGAAGACGGCAAGCAAGCAATGCCATGCCCTGCAGCTGGAGCTGGAAGTCATGGCTCACAAATTTACCTCGCTACGTACGTGATTTCCACTGTAGGATAGCTAGCTCAGTAGTTTCCTTAAATTGTGGCGGGCACGAGCCACCTATTTATAATGAGAATACTGTTCTTTCAGTTGCATGAGAAGCATGTACAATGGACAAAGTTAGGCCGCTAGGGTCATGGAAAAGTATGACAAGTTTCACCAGGTTTCTTCCATGGTTGACAAAGAGCAACGTTCCTCTACTGCTCTACGTAGGTGCCAAAAACTGATCCGTCTTTGCAGATATTGCTCGCCTATATGTCACTAGCAAATGACATTTCCAGTGGACATAAATAATCATATCTAAAAATAGTGTGGTTATCGATCTTTATGGTCCTTTTCGAAAAATCGATCTTTATGGATAAAGATCATATTCAGCGAACCTATGTAAATATTGAATTGGCGATGTAAGATGGGAGAGCGGATAAGGGTACATGCCGTGATGAATATATGTAATCACAAGTCATGTGGTAGCAACAATTCCAGGGCACACAAAGATAAAATAGAAAGGAAAAGACAATTAAGGAACCATAAGAGCAGTGTTCCATGTGTATTCATAGTGGAAGGCTTTTGTGGGAAGAGTTATGTATATAATGTTGCCGAGATCAGCTAAATTTAATAATTGTTTTCTATTGAATTGGTTTGAAATATTTGAAACTGACTAGAAACTTCATTAAAAAATGGGGATATATAACACATTTTACAATCTCTCACATGGTTCCAAACTCTTAATAGAGTTGTTGAAACTCAACGAAACATCTGTGGAAGTCTTCAAGGAGGCAAACACAAAAACTAATACAAACTTATCTGAAACCAACTTAGTATTGAACCATCGATTTATTGTGAAAAAAAAACCCTTCATAGAACACCACAATCAACGTTGGTTGAGACATATAAAGATGAAATCAGTAAAATTTGTTCCATTTTTCGGAAATTAAATTTGAACCATGAACCTTAATTGATGAGACATACAGGGATGCTCCTTAGTGAGAAACAAATCTGTATTACTGAAAAACCTATATCATTGCCATGATATTATGTTTGTCTATATATGTTCTAATGTTTGGAGGAAGGTTGTGGGGATAGCATAAATATGTTGTTGTCTCTCTAGCTGGTTTTCCAATTAATGTAAGCACACTAGTCATGATTAGATAGTCATGATTAGATATACTCCCTCCATCTACTAATACAAGGCCACTTCATTTTTATGTCTAAATTAGTGTAGAAGTTCTGGGGAAATGACTCACATATATTTCCATATTCTATACTTGTCTATTCAGTGTGATGATAATTATCTATTTTTTTTACTTGCACAGAAAAAAGACAAGCCCACATTCTAGAAACCTCGAGCAACTTTGTAGCTCTTGGTCATGATATTTAAAGAAACTAAAAGTAGACACAAACACAAACATATATGTGTAAATCATCAAGTGGGACATAATAAGTCCGTGAAGACTTGCGATTTGGTTCTTCTTGATCTAGAATAATTTGATCCAAAACAAGGAGAGGCAGTGTCTCGAAAAATTTGTTCCATTTTTCGGAAATTAAATTTGAACCATGAACCTTAATTGATGAGACATACAGGGATGCTCCTTAGTGAGAAACAAATCTGTATTACTGAAAAACCTATATCATTGCCATGATATTATGTTTGTCTATATATGTTCTAATGTTTGGAGGAACGTTGTGGGGATAGCATAAATATGTTGTTGTCTCTCTAGCTGGTTTTCCAATTAATGTAAGCACACTAGTTAAGTGGTAGTGCCTTTAGGTGTAGTCCCCTAATGTCTTAATAGTCATGATTAGATATACTCCCTCCATCTACTAATACAAGGCCACTTCATTTTTATGTCTAAATTAGTGTAGAAGTTCTGGGGAAATGACTCACATATATTTCCATATTCTATACTTGTCTATTCAGTGTGATGATAATTATCTATTTTTTTTACTTGCACAGAAAAAAGACAAGCCCACATTCTAGAAACCTCGAGCAACTTTGTAGCTCTCGGTCATGATATTTAAAGAAACTAAAAGTAGACACAAACACAAACATATATGTGTAAATCATCAAGTGGGACATAATAAGTCCGTGAAGACTTGCGATTTGGTTCTTCTTGATCTAGAATAATTTGATCCAAAACAAGGAGAGGCAGTGTCTCGAAAATAAAAGATTATGTGGAGGGAGTATCTAATTTGTAGGGTTAAAGTGCTTAGTATACCACTTTATAGGAAAAATTGTGTCTACTGGGTCCAAGTGCAAATTATAGAGAAAAGACATGGCATGTTACTCACTTGTTCTTCATGTTGCACCTAGCTCTGAGACAAGTGAAGAGGTGTCATTCCATTGATTGTTTATTCGACACGATGAGAAAGTTGATAACTCAGATCCATTTGCATGATGCATGCTAATTACTATGGTTGATGTACTAAGAGCATCTTCAACAGGCGCCCAAAAACCGGGCCGCGCGCTAAAATCTGCGTTCTTTGGGTGCCGGACACGAGCCACCTATTTATAATGAGAATACTGTTCTTTCAGTTGCATGAGAAGCATGTACAATGGACGAAGTTAGGCCGCTAGGGTCATGGAAAAGTATGACACGTTTCACCAGGTTTCTCCCATGGTTGACAAAGAGCAACGTTCCTGTACCGCTCTACGTAGGTGCCAAAAACTGATCCATCTTTACACATATTGCTCGCCTATATGTCACTAGCAAATGACATTTCTAGTAGATATAAATAACGATATCTAAAAAATAGTATGGTTATCGATCTTTATGGATAAAGATCATATTCAGCCAATATATGTAAAAATTAAATTGGCGACGTGACATGGGGGAGCGGAGAAGGGTGTATGCTGTGATGTATATATTTAATCAGGTTATGATAGCAACAATTCCAGGGCACACAAAGATAAAATAGAAAGGAAAAGACAGTTAAGGAACCATAAGAGCAGTGTCCCATGTGTATTCATAGTGGAAGGCAAGTGAATTAAATGTTTTTGCAGGAAGAGTTATGTATTAATGTTGCCGAGATCAGCTAAATTTAATAATTATCTTCTATTGAATTGGGTTGAAATATTTGAAACTTCCTGGAAACTTCATTAAAAATGGTGATATATATGACACATTTTACAATCTCTCACATGGTTCCAAACTCTTAATAGAGTTGTTGAAACTCAACGAAACATCTGTGAAAGTCTTCAAGGAGGCAAACACAAAAACTAATGCAAACTTATCTGGAACCAACTTAGTATTGAACCATCGATATATTGTGAAAAACAAAACCTTCATAGAACACCACCATGAACGTTAATTGAGACACAAAAAGATGAAATCAGTAAAATTTGTTCCATTCTTCTGAAACCAAATTTGAACCATGAACCTTAATTGATGAGACATATAGGGATGCTCCTTAGTAGAAAGAAATTTGTATAACTGAATAACCTATATCTTTGCCGTGATATTATGTTTGTCTATATATGTCCTAACGTTTGGAGGAAGATAGTGGGGATAGCATAAATATGTTGCTTTCTCTCTAGCTGGTTTTCCTACTAATGTAAGCACACTAGTTAAGTGTGTAGTACCTTAGGTGTAGTCCCCTAATGTCTTAATAGTCATGATTATATATACTCCCTCCATCTACTAATATAAGGCCACTTCATATTTTTTATGTTTAACTTTGACCATCAAATTTTCAATAAAATGTGAGTTATATGCCAAAAAAGTATGCCATTGGACGCAAATTTCAAAGAACTTTCCGATTATATATTTTGTTGGCATATTCCCCATATTTTATTGACCATGATTATAAGTCAAAATTTGACACAAAAACCGAAGTGGCCTTATATTAGCAGATGGAGGGAGTATCTAATTTGTAGGGTTAAAGTGCTTGGTATACCACTAGGTCGAAGTGCAAATGGCAGAGAAAAGACATGACATGTCACTTACTTGTTCTTCATGTTGCACGTGGCTTTGAGACAAGTGAAGATGTGTCGTTCCATTGATTGCTGTTTCCACACGTTGAGAATGTTCATAACTCACATCCATTTGGATGATGCATGCTGATCACTATGGTTGATCTACTAAGATATTTTTTTCCTTTAACTACCAAATTTGGGGAGAAGGGAGGGGGGAGGCGGGTATTTTCATCCCCAAAGAATCACGTACTCTCTAATAAATTTTGTTTTATATTCTAAAGCCTTTGTATTTATAATGTATAATCACATGAACTGCGAGGCCTGGGGCTTTATGCTGGACGTGCTCCTGGCTACCACTCGCCACCTCACCTCCTCGCAGGACCGCTGAGCCTGCTGCCACTAGGTGTTTTTTTTTCATATTTCTTTTGTGCTTTCTTTGGGCATGATTGTGCGGTTAGCCCATCTGTCGTTGTTGCTTCAGTGCTGTTGACGTGATTGTATGGATGTTTGCTTTATCTATAAAGCGGGTCGAAAGCCTATTTCGAGAGCATTATTTTGAAGATATGCCAAAACAATTAGAAAAACAATGGTAAAATACTGAATTTTGATGTGGACCTATACTCCTCGGAGCATTGTTTTCTATCAAAACGTTTTGCACCCCATGCTGGATTTACAGCTTGTTCTTTTCCAGTTAGTCCATAAGGATCGGATACGAGCACCCCCGGATTACAAGGTTGAGTTTGACATAGTGATGCAGGCGGACACGTCCGTATGCATGTAATTCGACATAGTGGGAACATCTAGCCGAAAACGTGCTAAGCATGTTTACTTTAAAAACGTGCTAGTTTGAATTGATATTTGCCGACGAACGTCCGTATGCATTTCAGTATGGACATATGGAGGCGTTGCCGACATGCATGTATGCATGTACTCCCTCCGTTTCTAAATATTTGTTTTTCTAGAGATTTCAAATGGACTATCACATACGGATGTATATAGATATATTTTAGAGTGTAGATTCATTCATTTGCTCCGTACACTACCAGAATAACTGGCG